CTTATCATTATCCATTCGTACATATGCACGCATTCATATTAAAGCATATGAGTAAGAATGTGTGCCGCCCCATTCTCTCCACAACACTAAACATTCACAGGCCATCTTATAAATATGTCAAAAAGGACACTTAAGGCAAATGCGTTCAAATGATAATTACGACAAAGCAGTATCAAGAACAACAACAACAACAACAGCAGTAGCAGTAGCAGAAGCAGCATGGGGCATAACATTTCAAGCTAAATCCAAGCACGGCAGATGAAGTGGCAACAACTATTACAACGCACTTGCCTCTTATCGACGCAATCCTCGATCCGCCTTGGATGCCTTTTCGGGGCAATAACACTAAAAAATTATGACCAACTACAATAGCGAAAAGAAATTTGAAAAACAAAAGCGCAAAGCGAAAAGTTGTCGGAATAAAGCCAACTGTAAGCATTCATGAGGATTTAAACGTTTATTTATAAGCAGCAGGTTGGGGGCGGGGGTTCGAGCAACATTTTTGCTTTTGTTTCAAGTGCGCTGCGGAGGAGGGTTGCGGAGGATGGCGAAGTTGAAGTTGAACGCTTCATTGAATTGAATGCGAAAACCAGGCGGAGAGTTAAGTAGAATGTGGTAGAATGAAGGGGCAGCCCCGTGATGATGATGATGCTGCTGCTGCTGATGATGACAAAGTTGTTGTTGATGCAGAGTGCTGATAAAATCAATAGAAGAAGAACTTCTGGTCATTTGACTGAACAAAAGGGAAGAAAAGCTGCTAGGTGGTGATTACGACAGTTTTGAGGCTTACACCCGTAATGGCTTAAAGTCAAATTGGCAGACAGACCAAACAGACGTTTAATTAATAATATTTATTTAAGTACGAGTACTCGCAGTGTCCATTACACAAGATGTTGCAAGCACAGTGTCTAGGCCGGCAGCTTAGTTACGTTCTATTCATACGATTTGTGTGTACATATCGTCGTACTTCCCCCATATTTGTTTATCTTTCATATTGCTTACTGTTTGCTCTCGCCCAGTGCCTGCCCCGCCCGGCCTTTTCCATTAGCCAAAAACTGATAGCCCCAAAACTCTTACACATACTCGTATGCCCGTAGATGAGGAATTTTTTGCTTGCCGCTCAATTAACCTGCGGCCGTTTTTACTTAACCCAAACGAGTTGAATGAAGTTCAGTTTGCTGACTTGTTGTCTGCTTTTTTTTGGTTGGAAAAAGTGCAATTTCCCAACTCACTCACTTGGCAATGATAGCCGAAAAACTTGTAGCAAACAAAGTAAACATTAATCCATTTACAACAGCGCAATCGGAGGATGTGGGGAAATCCTTTTTTCGGCCGGGTCTGGGAGCAGACCCGCTTAAGTGACGTGGTTTTAAAATTTGTCAATTAAATTAAGTGCAACCGCCGGCGGCATACGAATGAGTGGCAACAGCAGCTCATCGTCGTCATCGTAGTCAACGCCATCACCATCACCATCGCCTCCTCGTCATCTTAAACTATTCATAAACTGAGTTGATAGTTAGCTGGCTGTCGCCTCCTTGGCTGACTGCTGGAGGACTGCCTCCTGACTGGCTGACTGGTGGACTGGCAGACTAGCTGGTGTTTGCCTTGTTGCTTGTAAATATAAGTCGTTCTCGTGTTCGAGTTCGTGTCGTGTGTGTCCGGGCAAGTTATTTGCCGCTTAATTTAATTTGCTTTGGAATTTTGTCTCTTGGCAACAACAGTCGAGGAGTAGCTGGCAGCAGTGGCTGTTGGGGCAGCTTTGACTTTATGCCAAAGGTTGACACAACAGCGTCACTTTGTGTGATTTATGAAATGTTGTAATTAACTATTTATGGGTGTGTGTATACAAAGTAAACATCTTGCATCGCTTCGCAGTCTCCAATGAATGGGATATGGAAGCTTATGGGGACTTGGTGCACAGATGATTCGCCATGGAGTGGATTTAAAGATGTGAAATGATATTTTGTAGACAAGTTTGTCGCGGCTTTAAGAATGTTCTCATTTGTAAATTAAATTAATGAACATCTTCATACATAAGAAGATGAATTAATTAAACTAAAATAAATTATAACGCAAAAAGCAAGCACACGTGCTTGAAAAAGTTCAGAGAAAAAATCTATGAAGATATATGCATTAAAATGTTGTTCCCTTTTGAATTAAATCGTTTGACTGTGTATTCAAACGAATCATTTTTAAAGATGAGATTACATCTACGATATTAAAAGCGTATCTTCCAATTGACAGCGTTTATTCCTATTTACTCCTTTTAGGTCCAATTAACGTTAAAAATTATTATTATTATTCATACGAGTATAATATTTATCATCTTTTTTAAAGGAAGATTATTCAAATTTGCATTAATCTTTAAGTCAGCTACCAAGGAATAGAAAAATTTGTTTAAAATACTTTTGAATTTCGCCGACAAGAAATGTTAAATTATTATTTTCGTATATACTTGTATAGTATAGTATGAATATACTTATATTTTAAGGCGGGTGAAGTGCAAGAAATGAGAATAAAATATTAGGCGGAGGTTTTGAAATTCAAAAAAATTAATTAGAAATATTAAATAGATAGATTGTAAAACAGTTTCTTACATATGAAGTCTCTTAAATGGGGTTGCGCTTACGCGACACGAACTCCTTGACATTCACATAACATTACGGTACTAACTTCTGACTGGTGTATATAGTTTTCAAATACCAACATTTTTGTTAAATTTCGCTTCAAATAAAATTTATTGTCTGCTAGTTTCTAAAGAAAGCAACCAATTTTTACCAAAACTGTCCCAATTCAAAATAATAGTGATTATTCTATTATGAATAGTTTCGAATGGGCAATAAAAGTGCTCAAAGAATAAATAGAAAATTTAAAAGTTTAATGTATCTCTACTTTGGATAACACAACATAATCTGATATACAAGTACTACCAGGCTAGATGATAGCCGACTAATCTTCACGCCTGATATACTCGTAAAGGGACAATAAACACATAAAAACTGTCACTCTTTATGCAGCCATAGAAACGCTTTGTTGAACCCTTGCTGACATTGACCCTTCAGTGACCCGCACTCCTCAATGATGGGACGGACAGCACCCAAAAACACTTTCTCCCCATGATCAATACGTTCGATAAGCTGCTTGCCCGAACTTCAAGTGTAATGTCACGACTTAGCGCGACTCGGAAACGTTTTAAAAACGCGTTACAAGGGCTCTGTTGCCCATTGTCTGACTTCATCGTTATCCTACTTTGTGGCATTCATCTTTTACCCGTTCGGAAAATATCATTTTTCAATTGTTTGACCATTTCACTGGCTGTGACTCGCGTCTCCCTCCCCTACTCGAGAGCGACAACAACACGGACACCTTGTCGCTGCCGCCTGCAAAAACCAATAAAAAATCATAATTAAAACCAAAATATGTTGCACGATGTCCTGCTGTGCCTTGGGCAGGACTCGTATATGCAGCACAGTAGACACCACCAACTGACAAAACAATTTCAATTTTGGTTTGAAAAAAAAAAAAATGAAAAAAATTAAAGACGGGCATTTTCCTTTTTTACAATTTGAAAAATGATACGAAATGTCATTATGTTATCGATTATAGGGGATGGGGCAGGGGAGACGGAGACAGAGACAGAGACGGAGCTGACATTTATTTACTGTGTTCAACAATTGGGAACGGCGCGGCCTGGAACGCAGCCTTTTGTTGTGCAACAATTTGGCTGAAAGGATATGCCACGTTAATTGTGCCATTTTGTGGACAGTCGCAGCAGGAATGGGAACAGCAGCAACGGGAGCGGGCCTGCCACAGAAGCCAGCCTGGACCTAGCCATCGATCATATTTCATGTGCTTGTCATTGCCTTGCCTTGTATGACTTGCTTTGATTGCGAGAACTCACTTTTTTATATATATATGTATGTATGTATATATTTTTATTTGTATTCGCTGTTGTCTATTTGGCAAAAGGGGTAGCATGTGTTGAGGGTGTTTCGGAATTGGGGTTCCAACTTTTGGCACTGCTTCTGCTTCCTTTCCCTGATTATGATGTATGATTTGGAAAGAATGAGTCTGTGTGTGAGTGCGAGTGTGTCTGTCCTGCTTTCCATTTAGTTGTGCTTCATTTTTCAGCCGCTTCGCTGTTGTGGTTAAATAGCCATGGCTTATACTACATACATATATGACTTTTCCCATTACATTCATCTATTTTTGCTGCGGCTTGCCATAATTTTGCCCAAAAAATGCCTCACATTCTTTTTCATTTCCATTTTCATTGTCACACATACTCGTTTCAAAATATCATCATCAATCAAATGTCAGTCCTTCTGTTCTCGGCCATTTGACAACACATCATCAATTCCTATTGTTGTTCAATAATTTTATGAATATTCATAGTTTTTTAGCTGCACTCTACGTGCCTGTCCACCCATTCTTCCATTCTCCCATTGTATTTGTTTATTCATCATACTATATGTTATTTACGATTTTTTTCATGCTGAGTCATGTTTTTTAGCGCAAAAATGGGTTTTAGCAATTGCATTTTTCACTGCAACTCGAAATGGATAGGGAGAGGGTTAAAAGACCGACAGCTGTTGATAGCTATCGATAGATAGGTACAGTTGTTGTCAAAGGCTATGACACCGCTTTTGATGAAAGGACGAACACAGCAGAATGGGTTATGTTTATGGCTGTCACCATTTAAGTTATCATAGAGGCGAGTTACAAGCTAATATTAGATTTATTCGTTACAGCAACCATTTGGTTGTATAGAGTTCCCGAAGTATCTCAAAACTTTCCTTTTCCCAGACCATCGCTATACATCGCTATCTATTTATATGTTCTTCACAAAACATTTCATTTTATTTTATTCCAAGACACAAGTTATATTTATTGTTAGAATAATGTGAAGAATAATGTCGAGAAATCTCAGCAAATACATCGGATATTTACATTTTTTATCCTAAAATGTGTGGAAATTTAATTCAATTCGAAAGATAGTATTCAAGTTTCGTACATCGTGTCTGCCAAAGCTCGTTTATTACCTTGTGTTTGCAACAAAACATAATTCTTTCATAGTTAATAGTCGCTAGCTATATTTCCTACAATTTCATCCTTTATTAAAAATGTGAGTGAAGCAACACCATCAGATAAGACAGCAGAATGCCATTTGGTTCCCATATCTTTAGAAATAAAGAATGTTTTCCTACGAAAAAAAAATATCCAAGCAATTGTTTCTATGAATGCTATATGATATACATTACTTATATTCTGCATGGACATATCGGCATCCGACAAAAGACCTGGGTATTTGAATCAACTCTGGGATGCCTTTCTATTCACTGAAACCTCTTGAACTTATTTCGTTTCCGGGCTTCGTAATGAACATTAGTTCACCTATATGGGCGAATAAGTAAGGCCAAATCAGCCGTGAACAAAATTGGATATGCTATAGTACTTACTATAGCTTAAACCTATGGAATATTTGAAGAGAAACAATTCATTAGTTAAAGTGAATCGCAATAGGAAGAATGTCAAAGTGCTTAGTAATATTGTTGCGGATTTTATGTGTTTTTATATTGATAGGGAATCTACTATTATATTGGAAAGGGTATTTATTATATAACTCCCCATACGAGAAGGCTAAAAAAAGGAGGATTATTTTATCGGAGAACATAAATGTGGCCCTTACATTGGAACCCTTACAACTACCCAATGATCAAATGAGAGACTGGCACGACTATCAGGCAATGGCACGGGACGCCAAGCGTAAGGGTTTTGGTGAAAACGGCACGAGCGCGAAGCTGGGTAAATCGACTCGATATAAGGAAGGCAGACTGTTTGCGAAAAATAAATTGAATGCGCTTCTTTCCGATTATATATCGGTGAATCGTTCGGTGCCCGATGGAAGGCTTCCGGAGTAAGTTATCGCATGCGATGTTGCAACATTCATTCAACTAAATTGGCATTCGTGTTTCCACAGATGCAAAAAGAAGCTATACCCTAAGAACTTGCCAATGGTGAGCATCATTATATGTTTTTTCAATGAGCACAGAAGCGTTCTGCTCCGGTCCGTGCATAGTTTATTTAATCGCACGCCCCCCGAGCTACTTAAGGAGATAATTCTTGTGGACGACTTCAGCGATCTTAAAGATCTGCACGAATCATTGGATCAATACGTAGCCCAACACTTTACGAAAGTACGGGTTTTGCACCTCCCCCAACGAGCTGGGCTGGTGCGTGCACGCCTGGCAGGGGCACGTAATGCTACCGCTGAGGTTTTAGTCTTTATGGATTCACATGTCGAGGCCGGATATAATTGGCTGCCACCACTGTTGGAACCGATGGCGCTGAATAATAGGAGAGTAATGTGTCCCGTTATTGATAAAATTGACGGCAATTCGTTCCAATATGAAATATGTGATGGTAATATGGGTGGTTTACTTGTTTGGGAATTATACTATAAAGAAGTGCGCAGACCGCCCGAAATTAGAAAGTCAGTGAAGCCATTCAGAAATCCTGTCATGATGGGTGGACTATTCGCCATATTTTCGAAGTATTTGTGGGAATTGGGGGGCTACGATGAAGGTCTAGATATTTATGGATCTGAGCAGTACGAGTTAAGTTTTAAGATTTGGATGTGTGGCGGCGAAATATATGATGCACCGTGCTCGCGAGTGGGTCACATCGAACGGGTTTCCCATTTGGAACTGTTTCGGCGGAAAAACGCACCAAGCTCTCAAAAGGACTTTTTCCATAAGGTAAATAAATCTAAAATCGTTTCTGTGTGTATGATCTTGCGGTTTACGTTTAATACTACATTTTTAGAACCATAAACGCGTGGCCGAGGTGTGGATGGATGATTACAAGAAGTATTTGTACCGGAATACATTGTATAATAAAATTGATCCTGGTGATCTCACCAAGCAGAAAGCCTTGCGAGCAAAACTGAAATGCAAATCCTTCAAGTGGTACTTGCAAAACGTTGCTTTCGATATTATTAATAGATACCCCCCCATTTCTCCACCCGACTATGCTCGTGGGGTCATACAAAATCTTGGAAGTACAAACTTGTGGTACGGCCTATTTAATTTTTATATTGGTTCGTAATTACACATATTTATGATTGTTCAGCTTGGATCACTACAAAAGGAGTGTTCGCATGTATCAGTGTGATAGGAAATTGAAGCATCCACATTCGTCACAATTCTGGGCACTTTCCTGGCGTCGGGACTTGCGTTTAAAACGCACTGAAACCTGCCTCACATCTGTAAGGCCGAAAAATAAGGCACCAGTTCGGTTAAGACATTGCCATTACCAAGGTGAAGATCAGTATTGGTTCTACGACCACAGAGCCCAGCAATTAAAGCAAGGAAAACATGACCAACGATGTCTCGAGATGTTGCCGCACAGCAAGACTCTTATCCTCAATGGGTGCAATAACACTAATAGATATATGCGCTGGAATATTGGCTTTTTTAACCGGACTGCGCTTGATAATTACAACAGGAATATTTTTATATTGCCGTAACATGATCTATCTATTATCTAATTTATTTGGAAAGTTGACAGGTGTGTAAAAGCGGTCGTAGATTCAAATCAATTGGAAAGATAGTATATAATAAGTGGATTTCTTATACGCTCTTATATTTTATTTGAATGTGTCTTGTACTTTAGTTTACTTTTCATATCATTACGACAACAACAATCCCAATATGCATACATATCTTTAGAAATAACGAAATTGTTCAAACAAATCGTTTTCTGGCCTTTTTCTGCTCATCTTCATTTGTTTGACAGTAACTTACTCTTTACTCTGATTGCCAGTGTTTCATTCGTAAATAAATAAAATTGTAAAATCGAATACAAAAGAGCATTAAAATATATGAGCTTGTTTTCTGAATTAGTACCTCCAGTTGGAAAGTGATTATAATTATTTCTTTAGCTCCTTATTCAACGAAATAGAATTTTTGTCCAATTCCAACTGACTCTACCCCAACTAGAATTCAAAGCATAATCCTGCTGGCTCTTTTAATGCCCCAGGGCCACCTTGCATTGCTTCCCACAATAACTGTCACAGCTGAAAACCACAAAATATGAGCTGCTGAAAGTAGAGCGTTGCACGCATCATAAACTGCGGCAAAAACAAAAGCAACAACAACACAAACAACAACAACAACAACAAGAAATAAACAAACGTTGAGCAACTAATCCACCTAGCCGACTGCACTTTGCTAACAAAACAAAAGCATGGACAGGACACACAAGGACACCCGGGGACACACCCAAATGCAACGAAAATATTTTGACAGTCCAACACTGCGAGTGTGGAAGACAGTCGTGGGCAGGGTGACAGAGTTATGAGCGGACGGAGCGCGTTTGATGTCCAGTGATGTGCCACACATGGAGTGAGCCTTGGAATGAGTCGCATTAAAGCCAATTAGCAGCACGGCAAGTTGCAGTCGCAGTCGCAGTCTGAGAAATGCACAGGTGGCGGCTCGGCTTAGAGCCACAGACGCTGAACTAAACTAGAAGCAATTAAAGTGCTGACCGCTTGATTGTTCAGATATGATAAGAGCGTCGATAGATAGAGAGAGAGATAGTTTTGGAACAGTGTGTGGGTATCTGATATGCGTGACAGTGGAAAATTATTTGCATAATTTGACAGTTCATCATTTGATTGCCAGGGCGATCGGTGGTGCCACAACCACAAGCCGACTGCTCGGTGGTTGGAAGATTTTACAAAAAAAAATATACATACTCGTATGTATATTTGAAAACATGAAAATTAATGCAAAAATGTTGTACGGCAAACCAAATAATAAAAATGAATTCAATTAAATGTGACAAACGAATGTAAAAAATGGGGAAAACGGGAGGAAAACACCGCGCGTTAAATTACTAAAAATGTAATATAATGTTTTACAGTAAATAATTAAGCAGCCGAGAACGTCAGACCGCATTGCAGTTGTCAAATTAACAGAAAATTTCAAACGTCATTATATGGCTGACAAATATGCAGCCTGACAAAAAACCAAAAAAAAAAAAATAAATTAATTTCAACTTTAAGGAAATGCCAAACAAACAAATGCAAACGCCATCGAATTTTCACACGCTCCTTCATAGATGCGGTCGCTAATGTATAGTTTACAAAAATTCCGCCCCGCCATCTTCCGCTTCCGGCCAAATCGTGCAATACCTTCGTATGTGTTTTCCTGCCTTTTTTTCCTTTTGCCAAATTACCGTAATTTTCAAGTGTGTGGCCAGCGCTGCGGCTTGCAAATTATGGTTCCAACCGCCACTTAAACTGTCACACGTGTGCGGTAATTATAAAGTCATCTTGACATAATCAAAAGTGACAATTACAACCATTGCCCAGGCAGCCAAAACAGGCAAGACAACAGCTAAACAACCTGAAGGGTTCGGTGCTATATGATTACGGTTCAATCGGTGGCCTTTTTGCGGCTGACCAAAAAGAAGTCAATGGCATAGACCATTAGACACGCGTCATTAGCTGTGGGGGTACACAAATGACAATAGAGACTATATTGACAATGATTTCTTAATGATATATGCAGCCGAAAAGGAAGTGTTAGTCAGTAATCGACGAACCGGATGTGAGAAAGGTAAGGGAAATCGATAGGGTACATGAGAATCCATTATACTGATGCCCTAAGCCAACTCTAAATTTTTAAGTATTGCCAAAATCGAAATGTCAATGGGTTGCAATTATAAATGGTGAATAGCTTGAAGGATATTTTTTTCATGCTATAAATTTACTGATTAATGAAAATGCAACATTGGTTTTCATTTAAGACATCTATCCATTAATTTTGTAAAAGAAATCAGCCCAAACGATCATCTGGTAATCTTAAGAGCAGCAATTCAAAGTCAGTTGGTTTGTGTAAGCAGAATGAAGCTTTTTAGACTTATGAATTAACACTTATACTCAGATCTGAGAATTGAAAGAAAACAACAATATTCTTTCTTCATTTCTTATATCCAATATTGAATTGTTTTAAGGAAAAGTAGACAATATTAACTTAGAACAGATCATTATATCTCTCAGCGAGATCAGTCGACCGTCCAGTCTATTGCCGTATAAACTTTAGAAAAGTTCACAACAGGGAATCAACACATACTTGTAGTATGCTGAGATTTAATTAATTTAGTTAAATTGAATTAAAACAACAACATTTTTTCTTCTTTTCTTATATCCTGCCAAACAATAATAACATGTTTTATTGAATAATAAATTTAATTAATTTATAAAATTTTGTTCAATTTTTTAACAGTCACTGTAGCTCCATCATCAGTGGATCTGCGAGAATTGAAGTTGATGGTTGAATTTTCGGACAAAGAGAAATTAGGTTTAGACACCTTATTTTTGTCTTCTAGTCTATTGCTGTATAAACGTTAGGTAAGCCTCTCACTGTGAATCAACACCTATGCGGATATTTAAGAATTGAAATATAACAACAACCTTCTTTGTTTCTTTTCTTACTCGTATATCCTGCCCAACAATATTGTAATATTTTAAGGAATAATAAACGTTATTCGATTTTCAATTAATTAAAGATGAAGATATCTCTTAGTCAGTGTAGTTCTTTAATCAGCGATTTGAGTTGATGGTTGAATTTGTAGACAAGAGACCAACCAGAACTCATCAAATGTGTGAGAAATAGTGTGTAGGCAGTTATTTTTATTTATACCCAGACCAATCGATCTTCCAGTCTATTGCCGTCTAAACGTAAGATAAGCCCAACAACACTGAGATGATGAATGAAGACAGGCAGGCAACAAACATCAGCAGCACACTCACACACGCAAGCACTCACTTCCTTTTGCCAAGTCATGACACTAATCCTGCCAACATTCAGGCCCCTCAGCAGAGTGAAGAAAAAAATTGATATGCAAATTTATTTAAGCCTCGACTAAACGGGCCGCGACGAGCGTTAATTTATATAAGCTGCTGGGCAAACACGGTGTCAGAGAGCGGGCGAGTTAAGGGTCGGGTAAATACCCAAGATACTTTCTACAATGTAATACCTCAATAATCTTACAGGCACACACCTCACACACACCTTTCCTGGGCATTCGCACTCACACGCTCGCCATCAGCAGCCTGACAGTTATAAATCTCATTAAAAGGTTATTGACTGCAGCAAAACCAAACCCCGAACAGCGGGGCAGCAAGGATTAACGATAACGTTGAGCGGCATAGGAACAACCGGGCTACGGTAAATTTTCTTTCTTTTTACGCTTCAATTAATACAAAAGTGTTTAATAGGAAGACGCTTCGAAGGCTGTGTACTCGCATGTAGGAGCAATGGAAACTTGGACTTTACAACTGACAGGGCATCGAAACGAATGATAAGTGGGTGGAGAGGGGAAGTGGGGGAGGCTGGTCCTGTGTAACCCTTAAGCCTTAACCGCAGATGTTGCTGTTGTTGTTGTAAGGAAGCAAATAAAAATCGGTTTGGGGAGAGCGCCTAGCCTGGAGATTTATGCAAATTCAACAGCAAACCAAATTAATTTAGAAATGTGTCCACCCTCAAGTATCAAGCATACATCAAAAGGAGCATTGACAGCATTGCACTGGAATCGGGGGCAACAGCTTCAAGCGACTAGGAGTTTTTGGCAGTTTGGGGCCCATAGGTTTCTGTAAAAAGGAGCACATATCAAGTGGTAAGCAAATCCGATTAAAAAGGCTAGAGTAAGAAAACTGCAATTAATTTTATTTGAGCTAAACAAAGAAAAAAAGAGAGCGTAGTATCGCCAAATGGCAATATTTTAAATATAAATCGAATATGATTGAATATATATATGTACTTGTATATACATAAATATATAATATGCAAATCATCAAAATTTGCATAATTTTAACTTGTTATAATGTATTTTGAAAACTGTATAACTCTTTCCTCCATTTATGTGCACGAGAGTAAACCTCTGTTGCACAAACATGAACGCAAAGATCTGTTAAAAGGGCAGCACTCTACCGATTAAAAACAAAGCCCTGCGCCGTGGCGACCCCAATGCAGAATCTAACCCAACTTGAGGAATAACTGGAACTTCAAAAAGCTACGTGGGCGCGCCATCGACCTGCTTACACATACTGCCGCAGCACGGAAATCAACTTTCACAAATGCAAATAAAGTAAAAGCATCTGCAGAATGCAAACAACAACAGCGGTTACGGAACGGAGCATTATTGAAGGGTATCTAAGCCGCACGCACTCTTCCACGCATACTATTTACGCAGTTTCTTTGGGTTTTGATTTTTTTTCTTCTTCCTTTTTTCTGTACACAATCTGACAGCTACGCAAGGAACTCGAACAGGAGGCGCATAATGCGGTCAATGAACTGAGAGTCACACAAAAGCAGCAGCAAAAGAGGCTGCTGTCAAATGCAAGCGACAAGATGATGGGGGGGGGGGGGGAGAGGGAGGAGGGGCAGGCAGCTACCTATAAAGCTCTGGTTGTGGCTTTGCCTCAACAGCTGCTAAAATGTGCGTAGCTGCTTGCAATTTCCTTGCCAGCAATCAGCAAACCGAACGACCAACGAACGAACCAACCCCTTGACAGCCAAGTGTTAAAAACAAAAGGAGTGCCCCTGCACCAGCAGCACCCTCGACCCCCTTGACGGCGCACCGAGGCACCAACGCACCAGGAAAATTGTCATGCGTCGCTCGCGTTATGCGCCTTCTATTTGCATTTTTCTGCATTTCATTTCGCATACCCCTTTCTGGCCTAGGACATTGCCAAGCTAGGCCAAGTAGTGTAGAAAGGGCTGACGCAAGCCTGGAGCCGGGGTCGGGGGGACCCAACTTCGTTGGGTAACATCTGCCACAGTTGATGGCGGAGGCCGCAAAAATATGCAACCAC